TTGCTCGCACGGCGAAGGGCTCGGCTTGCTCGGCTCTCAGGGCCCCGGTCTGGCCCCGCTGCCGATCCGCGCACCTGCGGAGCCCGCGGAACCTGCGGCGGGCCGTGGGGGCCGTGGGGGCCTGGGGCACACACCAGTCATACAGCAGCCCCGCACCGCCACCGCCAAAAACCGCGAGTCGGCGTCGCCTCCCCAATTGGAGAGTTGGAGGAGAATGGGGGCCGCAAGCTCGTTCCCTCATTCCGGCCGAAATGAAAACGGGTGGCCGCGGCCAAGGGGGCGGCCAAGGGGGCGGCCAAGGGGGCGGCGGGGGCTCTGGTGTTTGAACCCCGGTAACGAGCGGGCACGCAGCCACAGTGCGGCCGCGCCGTGCCGCACCCTCCCCGCCAAAGACAACTCAGCAAGTGCCTCCCCGGCACTGCACGGCCTGCACGGCCTGCACGGCCAGCAAACCCCCGAAAACCTGGCCAAACCGGCGGGCAGGGCATCACATCGACCCACACCTGGCGAGCCCCACCGTGCCCCGGCGTGCTCAGCGGAGGTGAGGGCGGGAACGGGCAGAGGCGGCGGGGCGGAGCGGGGCCCCTGATGAAAACGAATGTCCCCTCTAGTCTCGCACCGGCCCCCGCAGCCCCCCGCGCGCCCCCCCTGGCCCAGCGAGCAAGCAGCAGCCATAAGGCTCTTCAGGTCGGACGTAGCAGCACGCTGCCGGCCCAGCAGCCCCGCACTTCCCACTCGCACTCACACACACACATGCACACTCGCGCGGCTTTTTCGCCCTACTTTCGCGCGCCACGACACCACCCTATCCCACTGTTTCTTCCATTCCCCTCGGCGAGAACACCGGTGCAAGAAGATCGGGCAGTCGGCGTTACTGCGTCGCTTTCGTGGAATACCGCTGGCATTTGCCGCGCCCCGGCCCGGCGTGGCGGTCAGAGTCCGCGACGAGGCGTCTGTCGGCCGTGGGGCCGATCTTGATGGAGTCACAACATGGCGGTGCAGGGCGGGCAGCGCCAAGCCGCGCGTCTTTGTCCGCGGACACTCGGCTTGTAGTTTGGAGAGGGCCCCCGCAGAGCCGCACAGGGGACGCGGCCGACACGGCAGAACCGAACCAGCGCGTCGCAGAGCCACTCCGCAGCGCTCCGCAGCCGGCCGGCCGGTGCTGCCAGCCTGGCCAGACCGGTGGACGCGGCGAGCCGGCGGGACAGACCGGCAGGCAGCGTCCAGGGGCCCAGGCCGGCTGGCTGCCCAGCCATCGCCTCGCCAGGCCCGCCAGGCAAGCTGCCTCTTGGCTCTGCTCTGCTGGGTCAACGGCCAAGCCGGCCGCCAGCGTCGTCTGGGCGTCCAGCCAGGCGGGACGCGAGCGGCCAGGCGGCCAGCCAGGGCAGCCAGCCACCCTGTACCAGGCGAGGCAGGCGAGGTGGGTAGAGGTACCCGTACCCGCAGCCTGCAGGCAACCAGCCGCAAGCAACCCGATAGCTCCAGCGTGCCCCGGCTTGCCCCGGCGTGCCCCAACCCGTCACGTCAAGCCGACAGCGGAAAAAACGGGCACCTAGGCGTAAGTACTCACTCAAAATCATTTTCAAAACATTTTCATTTCACTCAACTGTGAACACGGTCTGCGCCGTAGGTGCATGTTAGCTCAGGGGTGTTTCACTTTCGTCTTTGTGGGAAACGGAAAAGATAAGCCGACCCAACAACAGCCGATTCGAAGAACGCGCTCCATTTTTATTAACCTTTCCCACCGCCCACGAAATCTCGCGCTATCTCGTCCGTATCAAACAGAGTAAACCTTCGCACGCCGCACATCCGTTGGAGCCGCCGAGCAATTCTGAAGAGTCGTCGCGTCGCTCTGTCTCTGTCGCACTTGCGGGGCACCCCGTGTACTCCGTGTGGGTGCGAGAGAGACAGAGCGACACCGTCGGGCCGGCCACGAAGGACCCGGCCGACTCGTTGAAAAACCGAACTGCGAGAGGCGGCCCGGTGTTCCCCCTCCCCCACCCACGCCCGAACCGCGCCGACCGGAACGGCGAAGATACCCGAAAGTACCCGACCGGGGCCGGGCCGGGCGGTCCGGCCGGCTTAGTCATGACGCCCGCCTTCCGAGAACGCGGCGACGCGGCCGGACACCGAGTTCACTCTAGCATGGCGCAACGTCGGGCGAGCCAAGGGTCCCGGGTTCAAACACTGCCCAGATTCTCTTCGCCCGGCCCGGCGCGCCACTCCAAGCACGACTTGCTCGTGCAGTGTTCCGCTGGAGCCCCTGGAGGCCCGGCCGGAGACTCGTTCCAGTCCAGCCAACCAGCCACTCGCCCTCGGCAGGCCCCGCCAGGCTCTGCAGTACCACAGCGGGCATTGCGACTCATTTCCATGAGCTCTCCCCTAATGCGCTTACACAATTTCACTAAATTAAAAACGTCGTTAATTTCCTCCGGGCAGGCCACGGCACGCCATGGCGGGCGTGAAGGCCGTGAAGGGCACACCGGGGTCACTGGAGTAAAAGGTCGGGCGGTCGTTAACGCACACCACCCCGACTCGACGAACACTAGGCCAGCGGCTCCTTGCAGGGACTTGGACAATCCGACGACGAATAAAAATCACCACGGGAATTAAAAGTAACAGCCGTAATTGAAAACGAGTTATAGTGCGTCTCGCCGGCCATGTTCTTCCGGCCAGCCTCGCCAGACGCAGAGGCAGCCACGCACTCCGTCGGGCGGCGGCACAGCGGCACTCTAGGGATTATCTGGGATGGCCGAGGATGGTTTAGAGTCGTCCAGGGCCATCTCGGACAGCAGGCCACACAGCGGCCCGCTATTTTTACGGAGACAGAGTCCAGATCTGGCGGGGGAGTGCCGCCGCCCCGGCGCGCCCAGTCGGCGGAGAGGCACACGGACTGCGTCGCCGACGGGCACGTCTCGCGAGCACCACGCCGGAGCATCGGCCGCCCGATAGGCAACCCGCTCGCACCTGTCGGGCTGACGACGCCCCGCCACGCCCCGCCGCGACGCCCGGTTGACTCAGCCCATCCTCATCGGCCGAGTCGGTGGGCGTGCCGCCCGGACGCCACGATTGACTCAGCGTCGCGGCAGTCGCGGCCACGGCCGAGGAGGCCACCGAGGCTGGGCCCGGGGCCCGCCACTGTGGGCCCGCCCGCGCCGCGACTGCGTCACTGTACTGCTCCGAGGAACCGCGGCAGCGGCGGCAGCAGCTCAGCCGCACGCGGTGACGAACGCTGAGGCCGGACGGACGGCCGGACGGACGGAGAGACGGGCGGCGGTGACGCGGGTTCCGGTAATGAGCTGACGGCGACCTCGATCCGACGGGCCGGCGATGATTCGACGGCCGCGATGCGGCGATACTCCGGACGATAAGCAGGCCCGCGATATAAGCGACGAGCGCGCCGCCACTGTCAGCGACGATGAAAAACTGCGTTGAAAAAGGGGCAAGGAAAAACAAAGCGACCGGGGCATCTGACAAAACAATTACACGGAATCAATCGGCACTATCTATCTTCTCGCCGGGCAGCGTGGCGACGCGCGGCGCAGCCAGGCCAGCCGGACGCATCATAGGAAGGCATCTGGGGCGAACGGCCCGCGGGGCCTCGGGAAAATAAATATTCGAGTAATAAGAACGAGTCCGGGCGAGCGGGGCCGAGTGGGGCGGGGCCGGGCAGGCTGGCCGTCGTCCTATCAGGGGCTGTCAGAGTGACATGACTAGAGCCGGCTAGACTAGAATGGGCCATACACGGCACGCGGGCCGGGCCTGTGGCTGGGACGGCCGCTGGGCTGCTGGGGCGACATGGAACTGAACCCGATGTGCTTTCCGACGGCTCTCTCCGTGCCGTCGCGTCACGCCCGGCCGCGCCCGGCCCAGACGAACCGTTCCATTTTTCAAAAGCGTCGCCACATTGTTTTTCCGTCGGGCCGCTGGGCCTGGGCTGCTCGCTGGGCCGCGCCTCGGCCGCGCGGAGGACGACGTCACGCCGCGGCCACGCCCACAACGCCTCACTCAGCGCCGCGATTTTCACGCCAATCAAGGCTGGCGGGGCTGGCGGGGCTGGCAGCCGCGGCGCTGCGACCGGCAAGCCTTCATGCAGCATACATGCGGGACGGGACGCCCCACCACACAGTGCTGTCTCTCTCGCACCGCCGCGACGGGACGCGCCACGAGTGCGAGGAGAACAAGCACAGTTCAGCCCGCTGTCATTCTCGCCCTGACCTTTGCGTCGCGGGTTCAAGTCCCGCCTGGCGCCGCTCCGCCGCTGCACTTTTCACTCTCGGGACGACCAGCCGCGGCTCCGCGGCGCAGCGCGGTCTACGTGTTGCGCGGACGGGGGGCCGCCAAAGCGCGGCTCTTTCTGTTTCTCGCGCTTTGGACTGGGGCTGGAGCGTGCATTTGACGCCGCCCCGCCCCGCCGCGACTGGCGTAAATGCCGCTGCGCGCGGTACGCCCCTTTGGCGCGGCCCAGCCAGGCCCAGCCAGGCCCAGCGCGCACAAAAGGCAGTCCGCTGTCCGCTGATCCAACTTGCGTTGCGCTGTGCGCTGTGCGCCGGGCCACGCCGCCGTCCACATTCATAAACCGACGCGCTGAGCTGGGCGAGCTGGGCGAGCTGAGCGGCGCCCCGTAAATCCGGGATCCGGGCGGGACAGGCAGGCAAGCGAGGCAGCGCGGGCAGCGCCCCGACACCTCGGCAAGCCCGCCAAGCCCTTCCCCGCGGCGAGGCGGCCAAGCCGGCGACCGGAAGTGCAGCACCTGTCTCCGCCGCGGCGCGTCGACAGGCCGGCAGCGCTCCCGGGCAGGCGGGCGCTCCCAGGCGCTCTCGGCAGAAGCTGGGGGAACTCCCCCGGCGGGCGAAGGCGACGGCGACGACGACGACGAAGCGAAGACAGCCGATGCCGATTCCCTGGCTCCAGACACTCCAGAAGCTCCAGACTGCCGCGCTGCTGCCTAGTGCTGCCGAGCCGAGCGAGCTCCGTCATCGGACTCCTTCCTGACTCACCATTATTCTGCTGGGCGCTGGACTTGGAGGCTCCGACTGCGGCTACGGTGACCAGGACGCCGGCCAGGAGCAGGACAGTGGCGTAGTTACGCCGGGCGATCGTCCTCAAGGGCGACATTATCCACAGGGCACAAACTCTCGCACGAAATCACAATCGGTCGGCAGCCAACTCGGCCCCGATTCGGCACTTGCACGATACACTTGACACACTAACACCTTTCACCGATGACACACACGCGGGGATCGGCGCCGGGCCATGACACAGGGCAGGAGCTCTTCTCGGCGCAATCACCCACTCTCACACGGAATGGCACTCACACACACACACATACACGCGCGCGCGCGCCCACGCGGCACTGGACGAGACGCGCGAAAAGCCGGTTCGAGCGGCAGCGTCGCGGACAGACAACGCCGCGCGAACCTCCCCTCTCGACGGCTGGGGCGCTACTGACTCGCGCGCGCTCACGCGGCCGGCGGCGGCAGCTAGCGGCAGCGCAACGCGGTACAAGCGGCGAGCTTCGAACTGGCCGCGCGCCGCGCCGCGCAGACGGGGCTCGGCACTGGCGCGCTCTGGCGGCCGCGCTCCAAAGCGGCCTGCACGCCCCACGCCTCGCGCCGGGGCGTTGCAGTGCAGGTGCACGCTGCCATGCCCATGCCCAGGTAGCGAGCCGCGAGGGCCGCGAGCCACTTCGCTCGCGTTGCGTGAGTTGCGTGGCACGCCGTCGAATCACGACACTGTGAATAAAGAAGGCACGCGTTGCTGAAATTTTGATTCGCCGGTGAATTTACGGGCGGACTTCCCCGGGAATGGCGTTGTCGGTCGGCCTGGCCTCACGGCGCGGCGGCGCGGCCACACTCACGACCTGCGCGGCGGCGCGGCGGCGCGGCCCGCCTAACGGTTATGCCTGACCGAAATAGGCCCGCGCAGTAAAGACTGGCCGCGGAGCCGCCGAGCAGCCAGCGCACGGAGCCAGTTCAATAATTCGCCGCCATTTTGCGCTCAGCCTTTCCGAAAATTAGTCGGTGAAATAGCGCTCCGGCTCCGGGGCTCGGGGCTCCGGACTCGGGGCGGGCTGCCCGGGCCGCGCGGCTCAGAGCGTTCCGCGATGTAGATCACGGCAGTTTGGGCCGAGTTCGGCGCGGCCGGCCGAGCTGGCAGCCCTGCAGGGAGGAATAGTTGGTGCATTATGGCGGCCAATCACAGTCCCGACTCGCCCCGAAGTTGCCGCCACACGAGTCGTTCTAATTGTGTTCAACGATAATTGCGGCCATCTTTGCCGCCGCATAGTCGGATCCGCGTAACTTGGACCCTTGTTTTGACGGCGGCCGCAGCACCGCCACACAGCCGGATCCACGTAACTTGGGACCCTGTTTTGGCGGCCGCAGCACCACAGTCGGATCGGCGTAACTTGTGCCCTGTTTTGGCGGCCCCCCGCCACACCGTGTGAAGGGTGATTTTTATCGCGCCGGTCGGCCGCACTTACACCGCGCCGACTTGTTCTGCCGCGGAAAGGCAAAGTGCCGAACGCGTTTGCATCAATCATTAACGGCCCGAACCGTCCATCGATTGCGCCCCGACCGCCAGGGCCGGGCAGGGCCGGGCACGGCCCTACACCGTACACGCGACGTGGGACTGCAGCGGGCCTGCTCGCCGCCCTGCCGGCCTGCCGGCCAGTGCAGCCAGTAACCCTTCACTCCCCTCCCACCCCTGCCAGCAAGGCCAGCATGGCCAGCATGGCCAGCAAATCGACAATCGTGACCGAAGTGGCCTCCGAGGCTAATCGGAAGCGCTCACACTTTTATTCCCTCGCTGGATTATTTGTTTTCCGTCCTCCGCCTGCATTTTCAATCGAATGTGTGCCTCGCCTCGCAGTCGGGCTCAGACTCGTCTCGCCCGCCCCCTCGGAGACAGGCTTCGGCGGCGAGGGGGAGCCTCGTGTCGTTGTGAGTGAAATACTAGGGTGCCGCTGTTGAGGGTGAAAGTTGCCGTGTAGTTTGACGTAGCGTTCCGTCGGATCCGTTCTGACGGCCGCGGCGTCCGCGTGGCCAGACAACGGGGCTGGGCTCAGACAGACAAAGACAACGCAGCCCTGCCAGCCCTGCCAGCCACGGGGGCGTTCGAGGTTTTGCCGGGCCGGGGGCATCTCTGGGACAGACCTGAAAAAAGGGTGGAGCACGAAAAACAGAAACACACACAGGCAGACACACACACACGCACACGTGTTGTGTTTAATCATGGCGGGTTGGCATAGTGCAAATTTGTCTTGGCGTGCGTGTGTGTATGTGTGCGTGCTCGTGTGTGAGCACTGTACAGCGGCCGGCCGTCGGAAGTTGTTAAAACGTGAAATTGAATAACACAACGTGACGACGCTTCGCGCAGCTCCGCACAGTGAGCATTGTTTTCACGAAACACGAAACTCAAATTAGCGGGGCCGTGTTTGCGCACAGGCGGGCCGCGCCTAATCGACACGTCCGGAAATGGGAATGGCGGAAGTGGCGTTTGACTAGGATGGCACCGAAAAAGGGGACTCCACTTCCGGGTTGGGTGGGAATAACTGTGTGCCCGATTAAGCCAGCCCACTTCGCCAACCTTCCCACTCGGAGTGACACTCCGCACACATCCCCCACGCTCCTTCTTGTTTCGACTTCTTCTCCGCCCTGCCCGACCGCTTCTTTTGTTTTTCGCTGTGTGCGTGACAATCCGCGCAAAACAATTTTTTTCGCTGCGGCGCTGCAATGCACACGCGGCATTAAATTAACAACAACAACAACAACAACAACAGAGCATCAGACGGCCAAAAATGAAGCATTAGCGCACGTCTGCGTGCAGTCCCGACCGTCCCGACGCGCAAAAACAAATTTCAAAAGTGACACTTTCTTTGTCTCTCCCAAAGCGGGGGGGTGGTTGGTTGGTAGTGGTGGTGGGCGCCACCCTCATAAATCGCGCCGGGGTTTTTTGATTTTGTTTCTGTTGTTTTTGTTGCTGCTGCTTTTGTTGTTGTCCGCCGTGGCACTACGCGGCGCGGCGCGGTGCCCGCGTCTCGGGGAAGACCACCGCCACGCCACGGGGGCAGCCAGTCCGAATGAGGTAACGCGCTGTATTAGCAGAAAACGTCCATCCCGAGGGTGCGCTGCGGGGCGCGCTGGCGTGGAAAGGGGAGGGTGAGGGGAGGGGGGACGGCAGTGACGAAATGACAGTGGCGGCACTCCGGCAAATGAAATGCTTTGCTTTATCACGCGCGGCGCCGACACCGTACTTACACATATAACACATGCACGCGGCGAGGGGGAGGGCGCGGGGGTAATATATGTCTCGGTGTTTGAACCCGAATACATTTCTTCCTCGTTTTTTTTTTCTTTCGGGCTGGACGCTGCTGCCCCAATTCCCCGCCAAGGTCGCGCGACTCCACTTCGTGCGACACACCGCTATCAACATGCAGACCGACTTCCGGCCTCCGCCTAATTTCTCATACGTGGAAACTGGCGGCACGCACGCGCGCACGCGGGAACACCAGCCGGCGTGTCGCCCCCGAGGCTGCGCGGCTGCAAGCAGCGCGGCCAGAAAGCAGAAGAGCAGCATGGCACAGCAAACAAAGAACGGAAGCAAACAACAGCGCCAAGCAGACAGACGGTCCCAAAAAATGGCGGAGGTTTTTTCTCTTGTTTCCGCGTGGAATGAATCGAACGGACACATAACATTATGGTAGTAGTTGTGTTTTTCGCCGCTATTAGAGGGGAGCGGCGGCGGAGGGCGCCGTTAAGAGGGGGCGGCTAGTGTACTGGAAAACAAGGCGACATACGCTCGGCCGTCCGCCCCGACCGTCCACCCCGCCCGTCGGCCTCACGGCCGAGTCAACGCCGAGTTGGAAATGGCCGCGGAGGGGGCGGTGATGAGTGATATATTTGTGTGTGTGTGTGTGTGTGCGTGCGTGCGCGCGCGCGCGCGTATGTATGTGTGCGCGCGCGAGTGTGTTTGTAGCCACAGTCGCGGCCAGCCAATTATTCGCAAGCATCCCTCAGTCACTGCGAATAGCGGCCCCAAGTCGCGGGGCCGTCCCCCCTCCCCCCCCCCCCTTCCCCGTGGCCCTTCCATTAACTCTTGCCTCCCAAGTTGCTTTTTATAATTTCCCAGTTGCCAGTTTGCCGGCGCACTTTGTTCGACATTAAAGGAAGAGCCCACTGCCCTCCGCTTTGTCGTCTGCACTGCATTTTCCGTTTTTGTTGTTTTTTTTTTTGTTTCCGGCCTCGTCAAAGAGTTTGAGTGGTTCCGTCATTGTCTGCGACCGAGTCGCCTAGCCCCATCCAGAAGGCCCTGAAGGCCCAGAAGGCTCGGACGACGGGCCGGACGACGGGGCGCCGCGCTGGCGGACGGCGGGGTGGACGAATCTCTTGTGCGTCGTCTGCTGCTTCGGCCCCTAGTCGGCCGGCTGCTGTGACTGCGCGCTGCGGCGTGAGGCGCGTCCGAAGTGCGAAGCGCCACACCGCGCGTCGCTGTGGTGCCGGCCGTCGAGCCGCGCCGGGCTGTGCTGGACGGGGTCCGCCGTGACAGTAGGCAACCCTCCGGCACGCGTGCTCGACGGGCCGGCCGCTGGCCGAGCCGCAGGCGCTTCGCCGCCGGCAGGCACATTGCCCCCCAGCACTGCTTGTCGCTCTGCCTCTCTCGCACCCATGCGGGACTCCCCGTGGGTGCGAGAGAGGCAGAGCGGCGAAAGCAGAGCTTGGAATCAGGCTGGCCGCTTTCGTCGCTCTGTCTCTCTCGCACTCGTGGGGCGCCCCGCACTGGTGCGGCAGAGGGAAGAAAACGACTCTGGGAGTCCGGCTGGTGGGCAAGCCGGCAACATGAACATGGCCGCGCCCCCTGTGTGTCTTCCACTCCACTCGACTCGGCTGATCGGCCTGCGTCGCGCCGTCCGCGCCCAGCCCAGCGCCCAGCCCGCGGTCTTAGCTGGCCGTTCTAGCGCGCGGCGCGGCCACTCCGACGTCGGTAGCACGTAACGCACTAGAGGGAGGAGAGGAGAGGTCCTGGAGCGGGGCGGAGCAGGCGGCCGGGAGCACAGCGGGAGCGACAGAGACAGACGCTCGTTCCAGTGGCTCGGCACGGCAACGCACGCCACGGCACGGCGTGTGGACGCTCCGGAATGAATGTTGCGCCGCAGCAACAAATTGCCTGCACTATCAGCAGCAAGGGGAGATACGTCCGCCCGGCTTCGACTGCTTCGACTGCCCGGCTCTGCCCGGCCGAGCGGTTCCGAGGAGTCGCTCGCTCTCTCTCGCTCGCTCCCCAGCACTGGGGTGGGTGGACGTGAGTGCGACAGAGACAGAGCGACGAAACGGCTCCCCGGAATCGGTCCGCGGTCCCAATACCCGTGCAGCGAGGGACGATCCGGCGGAGCGGCGGAACACCGCTTTTTGGATGTCGTGAAAAGAGAACAA